CATGTTGCAGTTTGGCTGCTGATAATAACAGCTGGTGTGTGCCCCAGCTCTCGCTAGGTGTCTGGCATCCCTCACAGCCCTTCTACCTGGTTCTCTTCCACCTCACAGCAGAGGTGAGACGGCACGGTGGAGGGGCCCAGCAGCAACATGAAATGCCTGGTGTGAGGAGGAGCAGGTGCGCTGTGAGCAGGGAGGGTGGGCTTCAGTGCACTGTGATTACACCCTGTGTGACCATCCCAGGCCTACAGGGAGACAAATGGCCACTGCTGCCCAGTGCAACCTCCTGACCTCTGCTGCATCTGGGAGAGCCCTTGGCAAACCTCCTCGGAGGCCAGGTGCCTGCCATCCTGTGTCCCCTTGGCTGCTGCAGTCTGTGTAGCATGTCTTGATGAAGGGGCAGTGATCTAGGGGCTGGGGAGTCGGAAAGTCACACAGCCCTGTGCCATGACTTGGAGCAAGTGACTGTACCATTTGGGTCACCAACCATTGAGTCTGTGCAGCGAGAGCCACTTCTCCAACCTGAATCCCTTTCTTTCCTCCCTCCCGGCCATGGGTGGGAAGTCTGCGGGGACCTTTGACCTTATGTTCAGTGACAAACCGAATCCAAAAGTGAAGCCATAGCCAAGCATGGGCTGGACAGGGGGTGTCCTAGCCCTCGGGGACCTGGCTTTTCTCTGGGCCCCTTGTTCGGCTTCTCCTCCTGGAAGTGGGTGCTTCTCACTTCTTTGGCAGGCAGATGACTCAGCGGGACAGCGTGGTGCCTGGCACTTCCCCTGCCTTGTATATGCACTTAGCAGGCCCCTCACTGCCTTCAAGGGACACTGGGTGCTGAGAGGGAGCGGAAGTGTGAGCTGGAGGGTGTAGGGTCACCGATGCCAGTGCTCTCATCAGCGCGGGTCCCTTGGAGGAGCCTGCACCTGCCTGGACCTTGGTGAGGTGTCCCTGGGTCCCCATGCAGGGAAGGTGACAGACCTACTGGGGATATCATGCAGCAGGAACCCACTGAGATTGTAGCTCATGATGCTTTACAGTCAGGGAATGTATTCTGAGAAGAACACTAAAGGTGTGTGTGTGCAGGAAACTGAGCCACACAGAACTCTGTTAGCAAGGCTGCTTTTGGTTGCTAGTAATCGGTTTCACAATACAGGAAACTTCCTGATGACACACAGCAGATGAACAATTTGATGAGATTCCCAGTTTCTTCCACCTCCCTCTACTTTCTCCAGTTCCTGCTTCATCCCAGGCCACCGCCTCCAAGGAGCACTTGTTTCAGTAGCATAGCTTCTGTCTCACATGCCTCCGCAAATAAACGCTATTGTTTCATTGGTCAAAAAAAAAAAGTCAAGGGGGAGACAAAATAAGATAAAGAATCCTATTAAGAAGTAAAGGAAAATTAATACAATTAGATAAAAGTAACAGAAAAGAACAATCAACAAAAAAGAGCAAGAGAAAAAAGAACAAGAAAAGATCTCCTCCCACCAAGCCGCCAAAAAACCAATGAAGAAAAAAAGAAATTAGTCCAAAAAATTCTGTGTATTTTTGTTTTGTTTTTGTACTGGGGATCAAACTCAAGACCTTGTGCTTTCAAGGCAGGCATGGGTGCCACTGAGCCAAATCCCAGCCCTTCTCTGTGTTTTTGAATGTGTATTTTCTTTCCGGAGTCTGTAGATTGGAATCCGTCAGATATGAGGGAGGGATACTGAGTAACTATTAAGTTCCATTTTTTTTCCACATTCATGTTTTTGTGTGTAAATGCTGAGTTCTTCCCTGCCTTTCTTGCTGGGTGTGGTTGGTCAATGGTGTCCCTCCTAGGGCTCTGTTCACTCCCCAGTTTCCATGACCCTCTGTTTGCCCCATATCATGGCTTTCTCCTACCTTTATAGCCTGTGAGTTTGTGAGACACCCTACTGCTCCAGGCAAATGTCCAAGCCAACATGTATCTCTGATTACACTGGCAGATTGGGAAAGCAAACAGCACTGTGCTAGGTATAGGCAGTGTGGCGCAGGGCTCAAGAAGTTTACTGGATTGAATGTCAGCACTTGCAGAACCAGACACCTCTGAAAACTACACATGACTCACCTAGTTTCTCAACTCAGAGGACACAACCCTCATTTCCTTCCTGGCCTTAGCCTAAGCTGCTCAGAGGGTCTGTGTCTACCCTCTGCCCTTTCTACAACTGTCTCTTGTGGCTGTCACCCATCTAGTCACTGTGGTAGGGTAACACCAGAAACTCTGAAGGTGACCCCAGAAACCTACAGCTGTTCTATAGTTGTTCTGTAGCTGAGTCTTAAACAATTAAACACTTTCAAATATGACAGGTGCTGCACTGGATTTCTTCTCCAACCCTACTGTGTCTTGTGGAAGGAGTTCCTTTGAGAGTAAAACCCTGTACTGTTTTTGCAGTTAACAATAACCATGAGCTTTTCTTGGGGCTAGTGCCGCTAGCCTGGTCCATTGTTTCTCTTGCAGCTGCTGACTCTCTCTGAGATTACCTTGTGTTAGTAGAGTCAGGTCCTCCTTGACCACAGTACATTTTTCAGTTTTCTCAATGGATAGACTTTATTATATGAAGCATTAAATGCTAGCATAATTTAAATTTCTCATAAGTATATTATAAAGAGGTATTCAGAAATGAGGAAATTTTAAATGTATTGCATAATATATTTATTACCAAACACACTACCATTGACTATTTCTATTGCAATACAAAGGATGGAAATAATAAACATCCGCAAACAGGAAATCTTCCAGTTTAACTGTCTTCCTGAGAAAAATGACGAGAGATATTCACCCTGCTGCCTTTGAAAGTGCAGGCCTTTGCCTTCTTGAATTCTCAGTGTACATAGCAGTACTATAAACTAGCCATTCTTCAACGAAAGGAACATTTCAGTACATTGCTTATTGGAGTGTTTCTTTGTAGAAGATGTGATAACATGGGTGAAGGGTTTTGACACTGCTCATAGCCTTTAACCAATAATTATACCGGCCTAAGTGTAGAAAAAAATAATAGGCACAGAGATGTTATATTAGTAAAATACTGGAGAGTGCCAGTATAGTCCTATATTTTTGTTGTATCTTCTTTTAGGTGCACAAATTAGAGGTTGTTATTTTATCTCACTAGCTTTTAATTTAGATTTACCCACATATTTATTTAATTATTCCTTCTTGCAACTCAGATGTTTCTTCTACAATCAACGTCCTTAGAATCTGCTGGCAAACTTTTTTCTTGTTAATCTTTACTTGTCTCTTTTTGGGGTGGGGGGGCGGAGAGTGGCACAGGAAGAAATAATGACTTCATTTCTTAGTAATACTTTTATTTTGCCCCAATTCTTGAAAGAAAGTTGTATTAGATACAGAATTATAGGGTGATAGCTATTTCCTCCTAGCAATTAAAGACATTATCCTACTTCTTTTTGGCTTCATTTGTTGCTATGGGAAGTCAGTTCTCATATTAATTATTTAATTATCAATAATCTTTCTATTTTTTCCCTTCCTCCTTTTAACAGCTTTTCTTTTTCTTTGAAAGTTTTACTGTTCTGATTTCATTGTTCTTTCTAAATTTGAAGACAGGTATTTTCTTTTACTTTGTCTTCTACATCCTGAATAATTGCTTCATAACTTTCTTCCAATTTTTTTTTTAGTTGCATTTAGACAGCTGTTCAGCTCTCCACATAACAACAGTTCTGTAATTACAAAGTGTGTCGGAATTGCCTAAAAGTTCTTACACACACACACACACACGCACACGCAGTCTCACTGAAGTAAGATAAGGCTCGGGCTCCTGTTTTCACCATTTCCCCAAGGCTACTAATACTCACCAATGTTTGAGAACCACTGCCATAGAGTTTAATTACTGAAATTTTCTTTTCCTTTGAGTTGCAGTCTGTTCTTTTTCAGATTTTCTGTCGATTTCGATAGTCCTTTGTCATACTTTTAATTTCTTCCTTTATTCTTCAAGTCTCTTAAACATAAATATTTCATATTCTACATCTGATCATTATCTATAGTCTTTGGGAAATGTGACTGTTTTGTTGGATTATTGCTAATTCTTGATTAAGGTGGCCTGGTTCCTTTAGTCATTAGTAATTTTTCATGGTGAACTCACTTTCCTTGGAATGCAGTTTTATCTGGGGGACCTCTTTAAGGCTTTTGCTTAAAGCTCTTTTTTTGCAGGAGAATTTGTTTTTGTTTCTGCCAGGTGTTTGAGGGGCTGTTTCCAGTGATATTAATTTTTGGCTTGACAATTTAGGGTCACATAGGTCTTGAATTCAGATCCCAAACTTGGGTGAAAGTAGGCTTTGGGTTAGGAATGTTTCTTTTACCTATTCCACCAGAAATAAGACTCATCTGTGCATCTGCAATCTCCCTGGTCTGTCTTTGAGGGGCTGGGGATTTTTGTTGTATGTGTCTGTTTGTTGTTTTCTGTTTTTATTTTCTACTTAGATTTTATCCATCAAGCATGCTGGATTTGGTGGAGGACAGAGGTGATTCTGAACCTCCCTCTTGCTGTGCTACTTGGCTTTGTCTCCTGATGCCTTGCTGTGTAGCCCGTTAAAGCCCAGGTCTGAAGCTAACATAGATCGGATACCATGGCTCAAAGTTTTTTCTCAAGTCTTCCCACACATCTGAAGAGTTGGGCTTAGTTCCAGGCCTTTTCCCTTCAGCTCAACTATGCATTATCAAATGTCTTTTAGAATTACTTTAAATATTTTACCTAGTCTTTTTATTTGGGTGATATCTAGTGTGCCATAGTGTGGAAATGGAACACCCAAATGAATGTGAGATTATTACTGTCTAATATTGAGGCAGCATAATTTTGCGAGTAGCAGAACTTTAGACTTTTTATTATTTTGTGTCTGGCTTTAAAAAGATATATTACTGATTTAATATCAACTTTAAAAGTTTCTTCACCTAAAAATGTTTACATAGGATGGTATCTATATGACATTGTTTATTTTGTATTAACTTGAGCTAACTTTTTTTCTGTTATTATTTTAAGGAAGTTTTTGAGTACTATGTTCAAAATGAAAATTCAGTGAAGAGGTGGAAACAGCCTTCAGTGATTGATAAACTCAAGGTAAGAAAACCTTTAACATTGGAAATATCATTACAAGTGCTTTTGCACACCTTAGCTTTTGTTATTGCTGTTATGTATGTAAAGGCTAATTATATCAGTAATAACTTTTTTAAAAGGAAATTTAAAAATACAATCTATAATACATAAATTGGGCCATATGGTACTCTATTTATGGCATGTGATGAAGATAGCCTCCTTATCTGTTCAGAAAAAAAAGATCAAAGCTACTTATTATCATCCATTACTAAATTGAGCCTGAAATCAAAGCCGGGTATTGGAGGCCTATGTAGCTCAGTGGTAGAGAGCTTGCCTAGCATGCACAAGGCTTGGGAGCACAAGGAGAGGGAGAGAGATTTGGGAGAAGAGAGGGAAAGAGAGAAAGCAGCATTTGTCTCATATGGGCCTAATCCATATTTCATGTTTAAAATCTTGTCAGCAACACACATAAAATCTGAAATGTATAGGGGCAACCCACTTTCTGGGTGTACCCTCCTGTCCCTCTCAGGCAGGAGCTATCTTTCCCTCAGTAAATATTCCTTACTCTTTAAAAAAAAAAATAAATGTATAAAATAAGTTATAATTATAGGCATAATTATACTCAAATGTGGGAGATTTTATAATAGTTACAATTTAACAAGAAGTTCTAAAGTAAGCAAATGTAATTTTTCAGCCAAAACTAAGGAAGCCTGGTTAGAAAGACATTACCATAACAGTTTAAAAAACTGTTGATTTATAATGAATTCAGTAGCCTCTTGGTTTTACAAACTGTAGAATAGAGTAACTCCATAAGTATTAAGTTATTTCAAGTCATCACATTGTGGTCATTACACTTTGGCATGTTCATCACCTTCACAGGAAATGGCCAAAGCAGAGGGCCTCTGGAACTTGTTTTTGCCAGCTATGAGCGGTCTCAGACAGGTGGACTATGCCTTGATTGCTGAAGAAACTGGGAAATGCTATTTTGCTCCAAATATCTTTAACTGCCAAGCACCAGGTTACTACATTAATTGAAAACAGAATTTTCTCCAATATTTTGAGTAGTGTTTAAATTTTCTTGATTTTATTACAAGAAAGTTTTTCTACACAGTCTACATAAATTTTACTCTAATTTTACTTTTCAGTTCATTTGATTTAATTGCAAAAAATAAGGTTGATTTTTTTTTCATTGGGCTATTCTTTTGTTAAACATCATTACCTTATGAGTATTGGTAAGTAGAAGTAGCCACCAAAGGTATTGGTTATATAAGGATCTTGATTTCCTGATTAGGGATGGATATTTCCACAACCTGTTGGAATGTATAGAGTTCCAAATCTTTTGTTAGCTTCACTATCTTTCCATTCCTTCACCAGTTATTTATTGATTACTTGCTATGTGCTAACGATTCTTCTAGGTCCTGATAGTGTATCAATGAATAAAATATGCTACAGTAATACACAAAAAATACCCCTGCCTTCAAAGATCAAATTCTAATAGAGGGAAAACAAAAATAACAAATAGAGGGAAACAAAGATAATAAATGAGTAAATTATGCAGTTAATCTGAAGATGAAAGGTACTTTGAAAAGAAAAAGCAAACAGATCAGGATATAGGAGCTCTGGAACACTGAGGGACAGAATATGGGCTATAATTTAAAATAAAGTGGTCAAGATTGGCCTCATTGATAAAATGGCATTTGATTGACTTAGGCTGATATGTAGGGGAGAGTTATCATAGCAGAGGAAACAGAAAACTCAAAGATCCTAAGGCAGTGATGGTGAACCTTTTAGAGACCGAGTGCCAGACTGTGAACCCCAAACCCACTTATTGATCACAAAATGCCAAGACTGCAGTTAAGCCTGAATACAGTACTGAGGTTTTACTTTAGAAGAAACAACTCTACATTAACATCTGGGCCGGGGATTTAGCTCACTGGCAACGTACCTACCTCACAAGTGCAAGGTCTTAAGTTCGATACCTGGTACCAAAGAAAGAAACATCAACATCTTTTGTCCTAAAAGAAAAACACAATAACATTTGTGCCACTGGTTGGGCCATCACTGCCATAAGGGGAGAATACGATTGGTGTATTACACGAATAGCTAAGAAAGCCAGTGTGCTAGGGGAAGAATAGTAGAAGAAGAGATTAAAGATTAAGGGCTTCCTGGGCTGGGTAGTTATACTTTCAAGAAGATGAGGAGCCAATAGGGATTTTGAACAGAGTAGTGACAAGATGGGATCTGTTTTAAAAGGAGCACTTTGGCTGCTGGGTTGAGAATTGACGAAATGAGGGAAAATAGGAAGCAGGAAATCTGTTTTGGGTATTCTGGTAAGAGATAATGGTGGTTCAGCAGTGAAAAGGGGTGATTAGTGGAAAGATTCTAAATATATTTTGCAGACAGATCCAAGAGGAGCTCTTGATTAGATATAGGGGTTAATGGAGAAGTCAAGGATACCTCCAAGGACTTGTGACAAATCAGAAAGATGGGGAAAGGAGGGAGTAAACCTGGAATGTCATCTGTAACAAGTGTTTTCAAACCTGGATTTTCAGACTTGCTTAAGAACCTTCAAGAAATATCCAAATTCCTAGGCACCATGTTACAGATTCAGATTTAGTGCATCTAGAGTAGACCCTTGCAATATCTTTTTCCATCCAAGGTACTCTGGTTATTTGGATGCTACCAGTTAAGGACGAGTGCTTGTTTTATAGTAGGATGATTATGGTACTATATCCAATAATATTCCTGCAAAAGTTGGGCCTCAGTATTGCCTTTTATGCTTATTGTATGACAGTAATTCTATGGCTCTCCCCAAGCATTAATGCAGTGTTAATCTGCCAAAAAGAGTTATATGCAACCATATTGGACTTCAGAGAGAAAATATAGTCTAGATTTAGCAAAGTAGCTTCATATTAGACTCTCATTTCTTTGCCCCTATTCAGATAGTTCATAGACTTCTGCCGATGAGGAACTTGTCCCTGACATGGTTTCCCTTCCCTAAACACTGATATATCAAATTACTGCTTGTAGTACATTGTAAGAAACTGTCTGTAGAGTTTCTAAAGATTTCATTTCAATTGTGTGAAGCTAATACACGAAACTACAGGGCTGGGGATTTAGCTCAGTGGTTCTGCATGTGCCTGGCAAACACAAGGTCCTGAGTTTGATCCCAGGTACCAAAAAAAAAAAAAAAAAGAAAGAAACTACATAGGTAGTGTGATTTTTGTGGAAGGGGAAATAAACTGGGGGTAGTGTTCTAGTTTAAATTGTTTTATTGCTATTCATAGTAAGAAATATATTTTATTTTGACCCAGTATGTAGCATATGTAGTTGTTTGTGTATGTTCCTGGATGGATGGATGCTGCATGGATGGATGGATAGATGAGTGGATGGATAGATAAATATGCCTATATATTACTGAAAAACTTCATGAAACATCACTTTGCCTTATTATCAGATGTTTTCCACTGAGTTTAATCCAATGTTTTTATTTTATTCTATTTTCCTTTCTAGAGGATGTGAACCATATTCTTTTAATCATAATTATACTCATGGGCCATATCATGACAAATAATGCTGTAGAAGATTTACTTGCAGATGCAGCTCTATCACTATTTTTTCATTTGACCTGTGAGCTCTCTTGTCACTAGATGTTCATGGATTTTTTTCTTAGGAGTAAAATTTCATGAGTCTATCAGTTTGCCATTCAAATGATATTGCAAGATTATTGAAGTTTTTTAAATGGGCAGGAAAACACATTTTCTTTGACTAAGGAATTAGTTGGAACTCTCCTAGCCAAATAAGAGGTAAAATTGGAAGTAGAAAAATAAGTGTTTTCTTCTTGTACTGGAGTTATCTTCATGAAGCCCTTGAACATTGTGTTTTGGAGCATTTCCAAAGAAGATAAGGAAGGAAATCTAATTGAGGCTGATGAAATACTTTGGGAGGCTTCTTAAATATAAAAGATTAGCTTCTGTGTAACTTACCCAAATCATTTCCCAAATACTGTAGCTATAAAAGCTTATGGGAAACATAGTCTTCCAATTTGTCTTTTGGTTTTTTTTCACCTTTCAGTAAATCACATAATAGTAATTAGAAATAGTAATTTCAATCCCAAATCTACTACTGGAAAATTTTATAGCTTTTGGGCTGATTATTTTAAGTGGGAAAAAATTACTTTGTTAAAGTAACTGGACTTATTTTCCCCACTCATACATTATAACTTCGCTAGCTTCTCAGAATAAACTGATAATTTGAGGAATTTTTATTCAATAGTTAACTTATTTGAATTATAATAAACAATATAAAATGAGCAAAGAAAGCAAACAGTGAGTTTCATTAATTATAACCTAAGGCTTATTTTCTCCCGCACTTAAAAAAAAATTAAGCTTGTGTTAATCTACCAGGAATTTTGTGCATCTTAATATAATATTGGTTGTTAAGAGTGTCTTAACCAGGCCAGGGATTTAGCTCAGCGGCACCATGCCTGCCTCACAAGTGTAAGGTCCTGAGTTTGATCCCTGGTACTGGGGAAAAAAAAAGTGTTTTAACTGAGCACAAACGTGTCTTGAGTTTACTTAGATTTAGCTCAGTTTCCATAGGCATTTCAGTAACTATCCTTGGCATCATGATAAGAGGCGATACTGAAGCACTTTTCCTCAAATCTGAAGTAATAAGTTTTCCAGGGAGTGGTTTTAGATAGCAGTTTTAGAGATTTGGATAGCAGTGGAAATCATAGAGGCATGTGGAGTATTTTGCTTATGGCACACATAAAGCATTCTTTTTAGCTGAGAAAGATACCGTGGTGTGTCATGTACTGAAAAACATGGATCTTTGAAATTATCACTGCCGTTTTATGTTCAAGGCAGGGATTCTGGTCTGTCATCTGCTTAAGGGAGGACCTAATACTTTTCTAGGTGGTCTGTCTTGCACAAAGGTAAGAGTGACATTAGAAGCAAAAAGACAACAATGCTATGCAAGTTCAGAGGAAGGAGGTATTTTGGACTGGGTAATTGAAGATTCTTGGAGAGTGACTCATAAACATTAATTTACTTTTGAATGACTAGGAAACTTTGAGCAAGAAGGCCTGACCAAAACAAACATGTTGAAGTTAGAAACCACAGAGTAAGTTTGAGGAGCTGGAGTCTTGGGAGGACATGTAATATGAATTGTTCTCTAAGGGCACTGTAATTACTCCCAGCAGGAAATACAAGATTTGCAATATAGCTAGCAGGCACGGTTTAGGCCCGTGACTTAGACCTTATTAGAACCATGCTTTGCTAGGATGAAGTGGGCAGGAGTCTGTAATTCAGAACAAGTTAAATTAATATGCACTGAGTGCCATGTACTTATAATTATTTATGGCATGCCTTCATTGAAAATTATATTTAATGCATGTTTCAGAATATTTGTTAGCAAACATTTTCTCAAAAGATGCATGCCTGTATCATCTACATAAGTTATGGATTTCATAGTGGCCAACTTAAATGTAAAACACATGCTTTTTCTTCTTATGTGTAGACACGGGGAACATGGAGGTGCTGCACCTGTATGGAAGTGAGGAACAGAAGCAGCAGTGGCTGGAGCCTCTTCTTCTAGGGGACATTACCTCTGCCTTCTGTATGACAGGTAAAGGCAAATCACCATCCTCCCCTCACATGATCAGGCATCCTGAAGTTACAGGTGAGCTGAAGAAGTGTGGGATGTGGCTCTAGCTTTCACTCACATTTGTCCAGGGCCAAAAATGTGAATATGTTTGTTTTGAATCTAGTTTTAATTTCTGGCATTTTTAAGTATGCAGAATAAAATTGTCCTCCTCTTTGGGAGGATATCAGATGTTTTCTGGTAGCCTCCTTTAACATTAGCAGCAGAGTACCCCTAGTCTCATAATCTTTTAACTTGCATTTTTTAAATTGGTGTCTTTGGATATTTAAGATTGTTTTGCTGGGATATAGTTCAGCAGTGCTGCGCGTGCCTGGCAAGTGCAAGGTCCCAAGTTCAGTTCCTGGTACCAAGAAGAAAAAAAAGACTAAGATTGTTTTTACTCTGGTGTATGAGATATTCATCTTTGTGATAATTTTATAGTGATTTAAAATACTCAACTCTTCCGTAAGTCTAGAAATACAAAATTTTAACCATGGCTGGACACATGGCTCAAATTATAATCACGTGGGAAAATAAAAGTGGGAAACAATAAAAATGGCTTTGCTATAATTTGTACATAGAAAACAGTGGTTAAAAATTCTTTAAAAAACAAAAATTATCTTTTCAGGATTGAGTATAGAATTAAACTGAATATAGTTTGGGCATAATTTTTAATGCTTTTAATAATAGCCAGATTTTATTGTTTTCTATAACAATTTATAATAAGAAAGCTGATTTCCACTTAACTCAGTAATAGGCATTATTGAACACTTGCAGTGTAATGTATTCTTTAACTGTGAGTTACAAAGTAAGTACAGAGTGCCCTTTCTCAAAAAAAAGTCTCAAGTTACAGAAATAGAATACATGAAATATCTGAATGACCCATTTAAAAGGGTAACATATTAATAAGTGCAGATTATTGCAAGAACTAGCTAGTTCTTAAATGCCATACAGTTAAGCAGTTATTTAGAAAAACTTTCTGGAGACCATGAGTGTTGAGCAGACTATAAAGAATGTAAGGTATATAAATTGAGGAATACATTCTCAATGGAACCTGCAAGGCACAGTGAGAAATTGTTTAAGAGAGTAAACTGTATAGTGAGGAAACTTGGCTTGCCAATATTTAGTACAGATTTCCACTGAGGGAAGTAAAAGACAATATTTTTAATCTACATTTGATGTTTAGAGAAATGACTAAGTGACTTGTGTCCTGAGTTAGACATCAAGGTGGGAGTTGAGAATTCAGAGTACTGATCCCTAGCATTCCACAGACCTCATTCATTTTCTCATTGAATATTTATTGAATACGTACAATGTGTAGGTTAGGGGAGGACCAGAGAAGATAAAGATGCCTCTGTCCTTGGTCTACATTCCTGAATCTAAGCCTCTTTTGCAAAACAATGATGTCTACCTGCCTATAAATTCAACATTTCTTTATTTATAGAGCCTGATGTATCTTCTAGTGATGCCACAAATATTGAATGTAGCATTGAAAGAGATGGAGATAGCTATGTAATTAACGGCAAGAAATGGTGGAGCAGTGGTAAGTGTTCAACATTAATTTTTTATTCAACAGATTGATCCTCAGCAGAATAATGCTGTGATTCATAATCATTAGTTTCATGATCATAATTCTTTAAATTCTGCCTTTGAAAGCATGTTCAGATTTAGAAATAGAGGAAAAATAATTTTTAAAAGATAAGCACAACACATTATTAAAACTACATGACTGTGGGATGTAGGGGGTAGCTCAGCTTAGCATGCACAAGGCCTTGGCACTAATAATAATAACACTAATAATAATTTGTGGTACATATTTTCACTGGTTAAAAATGTTTAAATGAAAAATAAGAAACTTTATACATAAGATAGCATTTGTTGGCCAACTCTCACCAATAGACTTTCATATTTTATAACTTTGGGAGATTAAAAAAAAACCTGGAACTCATATACTTATAATTATCTGATAATTGCTCCTAGAGTGTATATCAGAAACCTTATATTTATTAAGATAACCAGTTATTACAAAAGAAATTTGACATCATAAACAACCTATGTGTTTAGGAACTTACCAAAAATGTATGAAAGGACCAAAAAAACCTTATGGTGTTTTGCTTTTTGGGTTGTGGTTGTCATTCCTTCTGTAATTTTATAAAATTACTTACAAATTAAGAAACAAAAAAGATTAACTTTTGCTGTACAATTATCCAAGTACAAAAATTATGCAGAGAAATGTTTATTTACAATTTAGAAAATTAAAAATGATTATAAATGCCTCTTAAGCCCCTTTATGAATAGGTTTTAGATTGCCTAACCTATAGCCTTTTTTAAAAAATTACTTTGTTTTGAAATTATTATAAATCACAGGTAGTTATGAAGATAATACAGAACAATCCCAGGTATCTTTCATCCATTGATGAGCCTGATGGTTTATCTGACATAATTAAGGCATAGTATTAAAACCAGGAAGTTGAAAATTGGTACAATGATTGGAGAATTCTGTAGCATTATATCACACATGTAAATTTGTGTAACCATTACTGTAATCAGGGTACAAAACTATTCCTTCACCCACAGAGGTCTTCCTCTTCATAGCATAGTGCTTTTATTTATGCCTATTACTAATACTTTCCTATATTGTTATTTTAATTTTCATGTTTTATACATGTATTGTTCCCTCTTTTTTTTTTCTTTTATGTTCCCTCTTCCTGACTTCTGTCCTCTCCCTCCCCTCAGCTTCTTCTTTGTGATAAATTACACAAATAGTGTTTGATATCTGAGTTTCACAATAATGTAAATGTTTTATCTGAAGAAGAAGCATCATCCAAGCAAAAGACAGAGCAGTTTTACATTTAAATGGTAAAAGAACTTGTTGGCTCTGTAGGACCCTCTGAATCAAAAGGAATCTCCTCCACATTTTGTCTCTGTCTTCTCCAGGATCCATATTTCTTGGCCACTTTCATAATATAGTTTTTAAAAGAGGCTCCCATGAAAACATATAGGACTGGGTTGAGGCAGCTATGAAAGAGTGCAATGCTCTCTGTGATTTGGATGGCAACATCCATGCGTTTGCTCATGTCACAGTCAGTGATCAGGGAGTAGATGATGTCTATGGCCCGGCAGAACTTGACAATGTTATAAGGCAGCTGAGTAACAATAAAAACTATAACCACTGTGAGCAGAACTTTGAGGGGTTGAGATTTTTTAATATTAGGCATCTTCAGGAGTGTCCTTGCTGTAATAAAGTAGCACACCCCCATAAAAAGAAAAGGAACCACAAATCCAATGCAGATTTCCAGCATTTGAATGGATGCTTTCATTGATGTTCCTAGGTGGTGGGGAAAGATAGGAATGCACCTGCTATTGTCATTTACTGTGTAAAAAACCAGCTGGGGTATACTCAGCAAAATGGCAGCCATCCAGACACAGAAACAAATGATCCAGCAAGGTTTTCCCACTCCTGATTGGCTGGGGGCTTTAGTTACAGCCCAGTATCTGTCTATGCTGATACAAGCCAGAAACTGCATTCCTGAGACAAAGTTTACTGTGTATAGGGCTGAAGTTACTTTGCACATCATTTCCCCTAAGACCCACCCATGAGCAGCATTAACTGCCCAGAAAGGCAGAGTGAACAGAAGGAGTAAATCAGCCACACCCAAATTCAGGATGTACACATCTGTCTTGGTTCTCTGTTTCTTGTAATAGGCATAAATTGCCACAACTACGGAGTTGCCTGCAAGTCCAATGATGAAAGCTACCGCAAAGAAGGCAGGGAGGAAAACTTTTGCAAAATTTCTGACCTCTTCTTTTATGCAGATCACTTCATACTGACTGTAGTCATGAGTGCTGTTCATTTCATTTTCCTCGTAATAGTAATCTGTTGACTGGTTCTGCTCCAAAGCCATGGCTCCAATCTAGATAACAAAAAGAGCACAAGATACTAATACTACTTAACGGGAAGCAGCTTTTGCCTCGCATGTGTTTTGTTCTTTCTCTAGAGAACATATTATTGCTGTAGCATATGTGAGCCTGAATCTGCCACTCTTTGAAAAGCTTTAATGGGAGCCACATTGGAGTGTATCCCTAAGATTTGTTACCTGTCCTTTATTTTTACAAGTCTGTGGGCAGAGCTGGGACTTACACAGGGAGGATGAATAGTACATTTGGAAACTCTCTTCATAATTAAATCCTAAGTCAAATTGAAGACTTTTCTGTAAAACAGTTTTGGGGGGGGGCGGTTACTGGGGATCGAACTCAGATGCTTGCGCTTGTGAGGCAGGCAGTGGAACCACAGAGCTAAATCCCAGCCCCTGTAAATGTAGTTTTTAAGATAACAAAAATTTAGTCAGATTTCAAGAGGAATAAAAAATGCTCTGATTTTAACATATATACCTTAGTGAATCTTACAGAGTATATCTGCAATAGAGTAAATTTTAAAATCAAAATAAATTAATAATTTTCTTTTCAAAAATACTTATTTTTCATTTTTATGTTATTAATTTATAAATTTAATTTAAATAAGTTAAATTATTTGTACCAAATTTCACTAGTTGGCTTTTATAAAACAAGACCTTCTTTAATCAACCTCCCTCCAAAACTTGACACTACTCGCTTTTTATAAACTATTATTGGTAGCACCATCAACACCCTGGACCTCTAAGCTGTGAGCCTAACCATTCTTGACTTCTGTTTTACCTTCACCTCTGATTTTCATAAGTTAGTCCATAAGTTCTTTACCTTCCACATAGGTCTTAGTTCTGTCTCCCTCTTCCAGTCTATACTCTTGGGTTCATCTCAACAGTTTAACTCTCATGTTTCTTCCTGGCCTACTGCAGTTTTGTCCTAGCTGGAATCTTGTTGTTATTCCTCCTCACCACCTCCTTTTGAAAATCATTTTTCTTATTGCTACCGGTGTTCTATTTCTAAATTGCCAATCTGACAATCCCCTGGTTAGCTCCCTACCTGGAAGACATATTGCTTCACCTGCAAGACACAATCCAAGTTCTTAGCCTTGATACCCAAATCTCCCTCCATAATATGGTATCACCCACAGCTACTGCCACCTCTCCCCACTTTGTGCCCCACACTGTAGATAGTAATATGCTGGTTTGCCAGACACATACCATGCTATTGCACCTGTCTACATCTTGCTCATTTTGCTCTTTCATCACTCTTTCCCATCTCTCCCTTGAAGAGCTCATTGCCGCTCAATTAACTTGATGTCACTTCCCCTGAATGCTTTCCTGATCACAGACATACCTTCCAGAGAATTGTCCACATTTTATGAAAAAGATGTGCTTCCCCAATTGCCTTGTGCCCCTAGGTGGTAAACTCACCAAAGTATGACCTGTTTGATTTGTGATTATAATTAAAGCTAATTAGCATGACTGGCACACACTAGCTGGTTAGTAAGTCTGTGTCAAACTGAAGGTTTTGGCAATAGGTAAAAAGCTGTTACTCTAGTATGGATGATATATCAGGAACCCCCTGTCTCAACATTAAATTATTGTACTGTATTTGCCAACAGCACCCCATAGTATTATGATAAGCTTGCACAGAAGTTCCAGGCTTTACAATATGTATTATAATGACTGTCAACATTTTTATTATATTGCTCAGTTTTGCTTTTTTCTTTAGCCTTTCTATCTCCTTGGGTTAATTTTGTTCTTTGAAGAAACTCAAATAACCTTATAGGGTCAGTCATGAAAATAATATTTTTAAATGTGCTAATTTATATGGTTTATTTTCAAAAGAAAAGCCTTAAACTTGCTAGCCTTTTTTTTTCACTCTTTTAAATTTTTTTTAATTTTTATTGGTACACATTTGTAGTATATAATCACTACATTCATCATAGGCTAGCGTTTTTTCAAAGAGTAAAGCAAAGTCAAGGTTGTCTCTTGAGGAAAAGTCCTGTAAAAAAATTGCTTTCATTGTGCAAAAACCAAGTACCAATGATTTAAAATGACTAGTCTATCTTTAAAGTATTTGAAAAATTCCAACCCAGAAGATTACTATAACCTTATTTTTATGCATTAAGTGTTAACACAACATGAACTTTGTTCTTTCTTTGTTTCATAACAAATCATGAACCTGATGATAAAGAATAATATGACCAAATAATGTAAGATATTAAGGAAGAATATTTTGAAGTAATAATTAATCATACTAAAATGTGAGTAAATAAGAATAGGAATGGAAATTGTTTGCAGAAAAGATCCTTCTGGCAGATATACATGTAAGTGTTTTTATAATGATTATAAAAACAAAAAATAGTGTTTATTAAAAAAGCAGAAAAGTAATATAGCAAAACCTGTTTTCTCATTAACAAAGATTTATGCATAATGGTATTGAAAATAATATTTTCTTGCTATATTCAAAATTTTAAGGTTGAAATATACAGCTGTTTTTAAATAGCTCTTTTTGTACATAAAAATGTTTAAACTTTTATGCATCAAATCTCCCACTGTATGGGTAAAAATACAAAATCTTTAGGCTTTAACAATATTATATCCAAGGCAGAAGGAGGAAAGAATGAACCAACCTGTTTTCGGTGGGCAGAGAGGAGCAGTCGTGAGTGCAGAGGAAAATCAAATGACTCTTCTAACTCAGGCTGCTTTTGTTTTCGTTTTACACTCCGCCTTTATGTTGGATCCAGAGGACTGTCCTGAAATTTAACCTTCTGAGCATGTGAGCTTTTTATGGAAAACCACCCTATGAAGTTAAATCTAAGTTCTTAAGTATCCTAGGATACACATTTGAAAGAATTCCAACTTGTTTCCAAAACCACAGGTCTTTCAGGGTTTCCACTTAGCTGAGAGAACAAGAAAGGGCTTGCAGCTGAGCAGCTGACTGCCAAGGAAAAACCAGATTCTCTCAGGAGCATCCAGGCAGCCAAGCACTTACTGGCAGCATTTAGAGAAATACTCTCTCAAGTTGTTTTGTCTAGGAAATAAGGCAAAAATGATTTGAACTCAGAAAATTACCTTTTTTTTTTTTTTTGTACCAGGGATTGAACTCGGGTCCTTGCACTTGCGCAGCAGGCAGTGAAACCACTGAGCTAAATCCCCGGCCCAGAAAATTACCTTTTTAAAGACTAAACTATCACAGGCTAAATTATGAGTAATCATTAACCACTTAGAGTTGAACTTAATCATTTTATACCAGGCCATTTAATATTTTACTTAAACTACCAGACTCCTGGTATCATTGTACTCTTTCACCTAAGATCTCTCCTGTGCCTTTCTCCATGGCTTTAAACTCTTGCATTATTGTAAACTTTTTCTTCAAAGACCAGAATACATACCTTCAAAAGGCTTCTGTCTGGGAGGCTATGTAGTTCCCAGGCTTCCAAACAAATGAAAAAGAAGGAGAAATTTATGGTCTACTTGAACTTGACTCTTCACATTTGCATGGCTGTTGCCTTATTTATTTTCTCATGCAAGGCCAGCCTCAGTCTCCACCTGCAGAAGTTATTTTAGACCCATGCCATTTTTTTCTCCAGCTCACTGGGCTAACCATTTTTGTTAATTCACACAAAAGCAGTTCGTTATAGCTTGCCTTCATCTTCTTTATCTCCCTGCAGTACAGTATGTGTCTGAACCAATTTCTCCTCCTCCTTATCCTCCTCTGTAGACAGAAGAATCATCAGCATGCAGTTAAACCAGCTCAGCACCTAGATTTGTAGCATTTGTTCATGACGTAAATAGTTCCACCATGGCCAGTTTCAAGCTTTCAAAATCAAGTCACCGTATGTAAAGTTGCTATGAGATGGACATAATTAGCACTGCTGAGCAGGGTCTAGCACATTTTCTCCAAAAGAAGCCTCTCTTTCTACCCTGACTGATCATTCTTCCAACCTCTTTCTGCCTTCTAAAGGACATTGTTCTTAGCATTTTTATCCCTGCTTTGGCTGGATTATCTGATCTTTCCCCTTCTCTTACATCTCATTTTTCTTGACCATCTGTATATTGGACTGGAGGAAATAAATAACCCACTAAATTCTTTTTTTTTGGTACCGGGGATTGAACTTGGGTCCTTGTGCTTGCGCAGCAGGCGGCAAAACCACTGAGCTAAATCCCTGGCCCTAACCCACTAAATTCTTATAGCAACCCACAGAGGCCCACAAGATCCGCCTTTCCCCTCTCTCCCTACTTCTGACCTTATTTCACATTTTACTACATCAATCTCCTTGCTGTTTCAGAACATACTAGGCATGATCCTAATCAGGCTTTTTGTGCAGGCTCTGCTGTCTGCCAGGAATGTGTTTGCTCTTGATATTTACAAGCTTCACTCACTTTTTTCTTGCAAGTCTTTGCCCATTCACCACCTGCTCACTGAGGCAAGTCCCTGGCTACTCTGTTTAAAACACCCATCACCCACCTGTTCTTAACCATAGCATTTATCATGTTCTAATGTTCCATATCGTTTATATTATACCATTTATATTTACATTTCTGTCTCTTCTCTCATCCAATATTAGAATATAAACTTCATCAGATCAGGAACTTTTGTTTGCTTTGTTACTGATGTACTCTAATCCTGAAACACAGTAGGTGCTCAATAAATATTTTGAATTAATAAAAATCCTCCTGTGCCTTTTATTATCCCATTTTACTTGTCCTTGATGCTATACTTCTCTAATGACTGATCTATAACTGTAGCCTTCAATATAGCTATACAGAACACAGTACTGAACTGCACATATTAATACTCCTGCCTAGAATACTCTTCCCACTCCATTTTAGATGCCTAGCTCCTATATAGGTCAGATTCAGGCCTGACCTTAATATTGATTAATCCAGGAAGCCTTCCATAATCCTTCCAGATTAGATCAGACAATATCATCTCTTCCTTCACGCTTACAATACCATCTCTCTCTATTGTTGGTGCTTATAAATTTTTTTTTTGTCTTTCATGACTATCTTGTACCCTGCTGCACTCTCAGTATTTACCTTGGAATCTTAACTCGTAGTGCCAGCTTACTGAATAGTAAGTATGTACATAAATCAACAAATCAATCAATGTTTAAGTAACTTATCCTCCACCAATATATAAGGTTAGCAATAGAACTGAAATTTTGATTTCACATCTTTAGTTTTAGACTTTATGTTTTATCATGCTATCTCTTACACATTTTAGTATTCCATGATCCCATCTATTATGGAATCTTGAAACTATTTTATATTTTAAAGTATCTTTCCTTTCCTGTGTTTATCCCACCCCAAAAAACCACATGCTTTCTTGTAAATTGGACTCCTGTCTTGTAAATCAGTTAAAGTGCTATAATTACATCTTTTGAATTTGCAAGTCATTGTCGTTTTTACTCACGCAAACACAAACCCAGCCCTTAGGGCATACAGGATATCAGGACTGAACTGAGCTGCTTGCTTCTCATTTCATAGAGTGAGTTCCTCCTATGTATAAATCATGGTGGAACTAGCTCACTAGCCATATTTTTTTTTTGTTCCTCTTCACACAGAACTAAGACAGTTGGTGATAAAAGGGGAAATGTGCAAAATTTGAAGGTCATGTAGCTTGAGAAGATAGGTAGAAGCATCACTTAACTTAGGCAACTTTTTAAAGTACTTACTTGATGTTTCTTTAGTGCCTTTTTTCTGTACCTCTCTTCATTTTTTCTCATAACCTGAGAACTGAGTCACTGTGATTCTAGTTTTCTATAAATGTAAATCAAGATGATTTCCTGTCTTAACAATGTCCCTTGTTCCTAAAGAATCTTTCTCCTCACATCCAATTTTCATCTTTCCTTTTATAGTGTTACCAGTGACAGATATTTGATAAACTACATACTATATTACCACAGAGAATATCACTTGGGGTATATATCGAACACAACTTAGATAACTATAATTTCTCCTTAGCATCTATTTTATGTATTGAATTCAGACTGTAACAGTCTTTCATATCACATTGTTACTTAAGGAAAGTGTGTATTATTCTAAACTCACTGTAAATGGCATTTTCAGTAGCTAAATAATATTTTATTGCATGATTTATCATAATTTGCTTTACCATTCTATAACTGAACTTTTAGATTATTTCTAGTGTTTTATTGTTATAAAAAATAGAGAGGTTTTTTTTTCTGGTACCAGGGATCGAACTCGGGTCCTTGCGCTTGCGCAGCAGGCGGCGAAACCACTGAGCTAAATCCCCGGCCCAAGAGCATTTTTGTAGATATTGTCAGAGTGCACTTAAGGTCACTAAATTGTTTTGAGGAACGTGACTAAACATGTATGATTATCCTTTTTTTTCTTACACCAAAAATAGTGTTCATACTGTTCACATTGAATAATAATCCTGGAGTTCTTTCATATCATTGCACAGAAAGTTTCCTTATTCTTTTTAAATGACTTTCGTTATTTGAATATGCCACAGTATATTTCAACAGTCTCCTATTGGTGGACATTGGTTTACGTCCAACTCTTTGCAAATGCAAACAATACTACTCCAATTAATAATCTTGCACATCTGTCATTTCATACAAGAATAGCCATATTTCATATTGACTCCCAGTTGGTTTGTTTTGTTTTGTCTGTTTTTCTTTTTCTTGAAGTGTTTGAACCCAGAGCCTCATGTATGTGAGGCAAGTGCTCTACCACTAAGCCATCTCCTCAGCCATATTTCTAGGAACAAGAATTTGAAGAAAACCCATTTCATTTATGTTCCATTGTTATGGGCCTTCCAGAAATGGATCACTAGGCATTGAAGGGTTAATTCTTATTTCTTCTTTTTGAATATTTGTTCTTTGCTTGTCTTTACACTGATTTTCAAGTATTCTTTATATTCTGAGGATATAAGTATTGTAAATATTTTGCCATAAATGTTGAAATATTTTTCATTTTTTTGCTTTTTAATTTTGTTTTTTTAATGTATAACAGTTTTACATAGACAGACCAATAGACCATTTCTTTTGTCTTCATTTCTAGTTTTTAAAGTTTGAAATACTTTTCCATATAGAGATCTAATAAATGTTAACTATTTTTCTTCTCTTTTTTATGGGTTAATTATTTAACTTTTTATAAATTGAGCTCTAATCTACTTGGATTCTTTTTAATGTGGTACTGGGTAGTAAATCCAGAGTCTTCACACTGACCTACATCCCCGTCCCTTTTTAAATTTTGAGACCTAGTCTTGCTAAGTCACTGAGTTGGCCAAGCTGAGTTTGAACTCCCAGTCCTCCTGCTTCAGCCTCACGGTTTTAGGACTACAGGCATATGCCATCACACCAGGCTATTTGGGATTTTTTGACTCAGGCATATTCTATCTATAGTATGTGGGAGCAATAGCAGAAGCATGTAACATTTATTGAATATTTATTATTTAGACATAAGCTCTCCTGCAGGTAGCTTCAGTGAATGTCAAAAAGTATTTCTTTCCTCCCTTAAGCATAACACGTGAAGAATGCATAGGATTTTCCCCTTAACTGTGGGATTGTATAATAAACATTTCTTGTAACTTGAAATTTTATTGTGAAATGGTACTTAACTAATAATGTTTTTTATTTCACTTTAAATTGTTAATATTCAAGTTACAACCAAAAGAAGTTTAGGTATTTTACCCCAGAAATTCAAAGATGACAGAAGAAACAGCCTGAGACTGTGGGAGGCGAACAGCGCTCCATATTAATGTAATTTGTTTGCATTACCTTCTTAGTTGCTTCAGCCCACACTCATATGCAGTGGTCATCTTTTTTCAGTTGCCTGCCTTCCTTCTGTTGGGAAATGACTTTGATAACCATGTGGTTTTAAGAGCCTTGGAAGTTAAAATTCATCGGCAAATAATATCAGGAAGATATAATTTTTAGCCTGACTTAATCCTGGCATGTGGACAGCCTTGAAATTCCAGAATCTGAATTAAAAACAAATCCATTTTATATGCCATCTGTTTTCATTCATGAAGGCCTATAACAGCAGCTATGTTGAAATGTTCTCTGGACTACACATATTTCCTCGAATATATTTCATTTCTGAAATTCTGCATCCTGTTCATTAACTAAAATGATGTACAAGAGCAAAACTAATCTGTAATAGAATGATGTTTCAGCTGTTGTACTTGCCAAATTCTGCTTATAGGTAAAAGGAGATGATGTATTTGTAAGGGTTTTTTTCTCTCATTTTTCTGAAATGTCAAGGTTAAACAAAACTACTTTGAATTTTATAAGCTATTCATTCACCCTTAATTCCCTTATGTAATGATCACAAAAAGAGCCAAGTTAGATGTTTCAGTTTTGAGAATCTGAGTTGTTCTCCATGGTAGATTAAGAAAGTCAGCATTAAAGGATCATTTGCTTTTTTGTGTGAGTTTCTTCAAAATTTACTTGCTATCTGAAATCTATTGGGCATGTATTTAAGTTTGTGGTAACAATTTTTCCATGATAGAACAAGGCAAAAATGATATTAGGAAATATTAGAGAAAAAAATTAATGTATTCTGAGGAATAGAAAAAGGGGACTTTGGGCCAGAGTTCAAAATTACCTGCTCAGGTCCATTTAGAATATTCTAGATTATTTCCTTGCATAGTTTTCTCCATTTATAAGGAATGATCAAAAATATAGTAGAAGTGTTCTAGAAATCCTCTTTAGTGAGTGTCTTCATGAGGTGTGAGCAAAAATTCAGTAAGCACTGTTGCTGAATGTCATCCAACAGAAAGGTAGCTCATAAAATATTATGGTGAAGGGCCGGGGATTTAGCTCAGTGGTTTGGCCACCTGCTGCGCAAGCGCAAGGACCCGAGTTCGATCCCCTGTACCAAAAAAAAAAAAAAAAATTATGGTGTGTCCTCATCCACCTTATTCACTGCATCTGGTACCATGTGACTTCTAGCTCTTCCCCAAAGTCAAGATGACCACAAAAGGTAAATGTTTTGAATTCACTCAGGTTAGTGAGGCCATAACAACACAACTAGAGACATGAAACAGGATCTCCAGAACTGCTTCAGAAAGTGGCAAGAACAGTGGCTAAATGTGTTCAAAGTGAGCTGGAGTATTCTGAAGGGGATTAATGGCAATGTGCCTTTTGCTGCAATAAATTTTTTAAAATTTAAACACCCACTGTATTTTTCCATCACACTGTGATACGTCTTCAGTGAGACTAAAAACTCTATGAAAGCTATAGTGGTGCTCTTATTTTTAAATAAATCCAGACACTGCATCATTTCCTTAACACAATATTTCAGTATGTCTCTTAATAAGGATTCTTTTAAAAATATGTATGGGATGGTCATTAAATTAGGTGAATGTTGAAGTAAACCCTATACAGTTGTTTGTGGCTTTGCAATTGGAAAACCAACTAAATAGTAGTTTCTTGGAGGGACCAGGTACTTAAACTTATGGCAAACATGAAATCTACTTTTTTGCACAAAGGGCCTAATGAGAAATCCTCACAGACTCCCGACATGTGATAAATAAATTTTTGGATTAAAATTAGAATGACTATTGTCAAATTTCTGATGCTTAATAAATTAATAAATGAGAAACTAGTCTTTCTGTTTTCATGTATGTGGGTATATAAAATATTTTACTTGATATATAAAATTTATCTTCTATGTGGCACATAGTTGTATTAGACATATATTTCCCAGCTTTTCTAGCATACTGATGTCTGAATGGTAGGAATAGGACAGCCATCTTTTTGTCTTAAGAGTCACAGCTGTTTTGTGTTTCTTTGACTACTGGTTATTTGTGTGCAACAGCTTTCATTAATGAACTTCAATCTTGTCCTTGCCTAATCATTTTTCTTGAATGACATAGTGGTGTACAAAAAGCATTATTATTTTAATGAATAAAAGATTTTTCTCCCCATTTTTTTTTTTTTTGCCAGAGAATACTTGGAAGATGATAACCTTCAGAGCGAAATGTCAAATGAGAAATTTCCTTTTATAATGTATTCTGCTCATTTCCCCCCTGTTTTTAGGAGCTGGGGATCCCAAGTGCACAGTTGCAGTTGTTTTGGGAAGAACTAAAAGTACTTCTGTGTCCAGGTGATAAAACAATTCTGATTGAGAAATCTATGTAGAAATGATTTATCTTAGTTATTTTTCTCACTTCTGAGACAAAATACCTGACACCCAAAGTTAAAAGAGGAAAGGTTTATTTAGCTCACAGTTCGTAGAGGTTTCAGCTAATAATTGGCTGGCTCCAAGGCAAGGTGGTGTGGCAGAGAGGCATCACAGAGGACAAATAGTCCACAGCAAGCAGGCAGGCAAGAGCAAGCAAGGGACAACCACAGCTCTTTCTATGCCTTATATCTTACTCAGGCTATTTAGGATGGATAGCTCTCACACACTTAATCCTAGTGCCCATGAGCCTAGCATTGTACCATGAATCAATTCCAGCATCACTCTAAATCCAGCCACCTCTGAAAAACCCCACCTATGACTTCATGAGGCTTTGGGAGCACATCTAGACACAAGCCATAACATGATTCAATCTTTCCTTCTACCCATTTAATTTACACACAACACTTGAGATCACAAATCATAATAATGTAAAATATATTTTGTAATTAAATATTTGCAGATCACAAATATTTTGCTAAAAGAAAGATCTGGAAAACATTCTACAGAATGTTGCTGTGCACTATTCCATGCAGAATTTCTGGCCTTAGGAAGTGTTACTAAATCATCAAGCTCTTTGGATTGGATGATTAAACATAACGTTTTTCAGAATTGTCTCTGATATTGAAGTGATTAGATGTTTAGACCAAAAGCGAGAGCCTTGAAATGTTTTTATATACCCTTTCCCAGTTACCATTGTTGAGTAGTGAGAGACCCCAAACAACTTGCACTTCTTTTCAAATCATTATTTTTGTTCCAGATCATAGCCTGCATCAGACTGCAGTAGGTATGTCTTTTACACAGCTCGCATTCCAGTTACTGTTGCCTATGTGACTGGATGCTAACAACAAGAAGAAAATTTCAACTCATCATAACATCTGTTTCATTTTTCCTCTTAGCAAACTTTTCCTAACACTATTTTTTCTTTTCACTAGACACAAACAACACAGCATGATTCTTGTTCCAATGAATGCACCTGGAGTAGAATTAATAAGGCCTTTGTCAGTTTTTGGCTACATGGGTAAGTACAAAATAAGAATGTCCAAACATTAGCAAGCAGAAGACTAGAAACTGCAGTAGCATTGAAAGGAATAGATAGTATCTTTTTTTTTTTTTTTTTTTTTTTGGTACCAGGGATTGAACTCAGGTCCTTGTGCTTGCGCTTACACAGCAAGCAGTGAAACCACTGAGCTAAATCCCCCGGCCCCAGTAGATAGTATCTTAATGTAAGAGATATATTCTTAGGAATCCCTTTGCCCCTGGCAACTCTTTTGACATGCAGGTGGAGTTCAGGATAAAGCAGATAAAGGGGTGGTAGTGCCCCATCCTCCCCAGTTTTGTTTACTGTTTGTGAACGAATGGGTTGTATTCAAGGAACAGCAACTCTAACTGCCAGTCTTCTCTCTTGTTCATGAATATGGATTAATGAAGCAGATACAGATAAATTAAATCAAGGCAATTCACAATAAAATTCAATTTTTGTCTCTATGTTCAACTTTTCAATTAACCTATGAGAGCTGTTAAACAGTAAGTTGGGTTTAGTGCAAAGCATTTTCTTTCTTCTGCTCTTGGGTATAATTTTTAAGAAGCAAGGTTACTTTTGTTACCTACCACACAGTCTGTTGGGTCCATGCTCCTCAGGTCATCTACTCAGCAAGAATTTATTTATAGAGCACTGAGTACAGTTCGAGGTTCTTGAATACATTAATAAAATCAGTAGACTAGGTTTCTTGCCCTTCTGTAGCTTACATGTTGCTGGAAGGAAATAACTAGAAACATGTGAGGAGGTAAATTATATAGCATGTCAGCAAGTGATACATGCTATGAAAAAGTTGACTGAACTTCACGTTCTTTTTCTCCATGGTTTTCTCCCTTTTGTTGAGTGTGACTGAATTGCATATGTTTAAAGTGCAGAATAAAACTTGCAGCTTTATAAAATGTTTGACATCATAACCTTCTGTGAATGTAGCTTTAGGATGTGCCCACAGGCTAAGTGAGGGGACAAGATGGGACAAACAAGCTCACAGGAACAGGTTACACATTGGAAGTTGTTGGGCTACACAGCGACATTCTGAAAGACATGCAAAATGAATTTAGAAGACAGGTGCAAATACCTGCCACTGCAGAGCTACCTTTCAATTTTCAATACAAAAAATCCACCAGCAACTCTCTAATTCCTTGTATCTGGGGCCAAAAGAAACAGTGTGGGGAGGGCTGATCATTAATTCCTATAGGAAAATGGTGTAGAGTTAGCATGAGATGATCATTAGAATTTGCTGAGGAGGATGAGTGATGCAAAGAGAAGAATACAGATGGGTTCCCAGCCTCACTGACTCAAATGCCAGCATTTTCAGGAGTAACAAGTGGGACAAGGCAAACAGAGTAACACCTGAATGACTGTACCATCTCTTCTTCCTACCAGTGCTAAGCCTCCTCTCCCCTTTCCAGCAGGCCCTTTGCATCTTCAGGCACTGATTTCCACAGTGATAAAATAAGAAGCTTGAATATAGGACTCACTTTCAATTTTTTTAAACATTGAATCTTTATTCCCTGCGCAAAATTCCTTTGGGATCCCATAAAAATTTGAAGGAAAAGCAGTAATAAAATAGTCTTGTTAGAGCCATGAAACCCTTTTCCCATAGCTCTACAATTTCAGAGAATGAATTAGAAAAACTCTGAATTCAATGATTTATAAAATTTTTTCTAACTTGAACAGTTGATAAGTTTACAGGACTGCTGGGTACTACATGTTCAGGGCTAAGATATACCTAGGAATGTCGTGACATATGGGACTTTTAGATCCTAATTTCTTTGAGTAATTATACTCCTGAAGGTTAATTATACATGACTCTTTTTTGGTCAACTCATTTGTCTCTTTAACATTTTATTTTCTATTCATAGATTATTTGCATGGAGGACATTTTGAGATCCATTTTAATCAAGTGCGAGTTCCTGCTGCCAATTTAATACTAGGTGAGATAAATTTGGTAAAATTGTTCTCTAGTCTTGTATATTAGTATAGTAGTTTTAGGACTAAATCTGGAAAAGATATGCAATCAGCTTTAATTTAGATACTTTTTATTCTTGTTTCCTTTATTTATTAAGAAAACATTTTCCATTTTGTGGATTTTCTTACATGGTATGCCAAGATTTTATTTACATGTTAGATGTGGTTTTATATACCACATCAATTAAAAACATAGCTAAATATAAAAGCTAACCAATTCAAAGCAACACATTTTTCCTAAGACATGATCTGTAGACCTCTACTTGTTTTAAGAAAACTTCAATACTTTCTGACTTTGTCTTATATACAATAAAATAATGAATAACTTCAAACACTTTCAGTGCTTGAAATGACTCCATCCTCTCATTTATTGGACTCCTAACCGACCTTCAAAGAATATTTCAAATCCTAGCCCTTTCAGGAAGGTTTTGTGTTTCTTAGCTCATCCACTCAACAAGCCTGATACCTGCCGAGCCCAACAGCCACAGTCGTTTACAGTCTGGCCCTCCTTTGCCTTTCTCGGTCCCTCTCTGTGTCTGTAGCCCTTGTCCTTGTCCCTGTCAGGTAAAAGGGCCGAAGACCAAGACCAGACCAGGCCACAACAAGCCTTTATTAGGGGAATAGATCTGCTGGGCTGTCTCTGAACAAAGGAGAGACAAAAACAATATGGCCGGGGCAGGGAGAGTCTTTTATAGAGACTGGGGTGGGGTTTGTAGGGGCAGAGGTGGGGTTGAGTGAGGTAGTGACTAGGGAATGGAGGAGCCGGAGATGTCACTAGGTGGTAGGAGGTGAGCAAGTATTAAGTTACCTTCTAGGGGGGAACAGGGGCATACTGCGAAGAAGGGTTTATTCTTTGGTGGGCGCAACCATCTTGGCATGATGTCACACAGGGGAGGGGGCAAGGCACCATAGGAAGAGGGCAGCTACTATACATAATAGCTGCTGAGGTGGTGGGAGACCTATCAGTCCCTTCTTCTGGCTTCTAAATTTCTAGGTAGGGACTGTGTCTTAGCCATGATATAACTGTGCAGCACTAATAAAGTAGCTTATGTACAGTAAGCACTCCAAAGACAGTTCTAAATTTGATTGAAATGTTTAATGAAGGCGGCTTTAAAAAACATAGCAATCAACATTCCCATAAATGCGTAATGAACCTTAGAGAATTGGCTTTTTCCTCACCAGAAGGCTATTTTTATTGAAAGCAGCTCATCTTCCCAAAATTTGTATAAATAACAAAAGGAATGGGCCATTTTCATGTTCTTTCTTTCTCCCAGGTGAAGGTAGGGGATTTGAAATTTCCCAAGGCCGCCTCGGACCTGGCAGAATCCACCACTGTATGAGAACAGTTGGTGTGGCAGAACGCACTTTGCAGATCATGTGTGAGCGGGCAGCACAAAGGGAAGCCTTTAAGAAGAAGCTGTATGAACATGTAAGAGTGATTTCTTATTGGAACTCACTGTAGCCCTGTATGCAATGTTATGGAAATCTCAGAAAGAAATACACAGAGACACAGAATTTGGATAAAATAATAAAATTTCTTCTGGCAAGCAGGTGGGAACACCAGAAACCAGTCTGGTCAGTATCTGCGCCTTTTGTTCCCTTTTGTTCAACGTTTCCCTTTTTATATCCTTTTTAGCCATTATCTCATCCGAAGTGGTCTTTGATGTGTAAATACAATTCTAGTTACTATTTACAAGTCACAGACACAAGATAGGCCATATACATTGTAAATTCACCCTGGCTTGGTAACTTTGTTAGGTTAATGAAGTTACTGGTTAGAGTTGGATAATTGTCACCTTAAACTAGGAGTTACCTGAAAAGCAAATCTTAAAAGAACACATTACTTATTTTCTTCTACAACTACCGTAATAGTCAATCCATTAAGTTATCTAAAACTTTTCTGTATCAACAACACTAACCTTAAGCAAAAATGTTAGTGGGAAAGAGATTCCCCCTGCATGACAAAGGTGATTCTTTCCCATAGTGCAGTGGTGGCAAACCAATGGCACGCGTGTTATTGTGTTTTTCTTTTAAGACAAAACAAGTTAACCTAGAGTTGCTTCTTCTAAACTAAAACTTCAGTATTCGGGTTTAATTGCAATGTTGCCACTTTGTGATAAATAAGTGGGTTTTGGGCTGCAGTTTGGCACTCGGTCTCTAAAAGGTTCGTCAGTGCTGCCATAAAGCATACCCTGTCTGCATTTAATATAGTCTGATGAGAAGTGTTTACCTTTGTGAAGGGTTAAGTAGCTCCAAAGTACTGCCATTTTCGAGCATGCAGAGTGTAGGCAGTTGCTTCCGTTTCCTAGACCCTCATTCTCTACAGCAGCTGGTACCTTAAAGCTCTTTCTGGAAAGGAAGAGGCTATCCTAGGAAGGGGGACTTGTCTTCTCCTTTGTTTTCTGGAAGGAATTAGGACAGATAAGTGGAAGCTGTATAAAAGCAACCCAAAGCTCTGGGAAAGCAGGAATGTTCTGTAAGAGAAATTTTAAAATGGAATGGAGTGCTTCAAAAAACAGTTTCTTGTTACTGAGAAATTCAAGTAGAAATCCCACCAACCTTTGGTGGGATGTTCATAACTTTTTGAATTTTCTTCTGTAAATTATATTCTATAGAGTCTTATTTACAAAATGCTATACACAGTTATAGTAGGCAATATAGTAAAAATTAGTAAATACGTATCAACAGGGAAAAGGAGGTATCATTTCAGACTTCCTTGAAAAGCTTTTCTTAGGAGAAAATGGAATAGCCAAACCATCCCCTACAAAGGGCTTCTAATTTTTTTTTTTTTTTCTGATACCAGGGGTCAAAATCAGGACCTTGCACTTGCAAGGCAGGCGTGGGCACCACTAAGTTAAATCCCCAGCCAGCTTCTAATTTTGAAGAAAGCAAGAACAACTATTATTAAATATTTAATATTTATTATTATTACCATGTTAGTATTAATTCAAACTTGTGTTGACAGAATTGCATTTGTATTTGCTAGACAAGTGTATTTTAGTACATTGATTCTCTTGTAAAATACATTTATAATCTTATAAAATTTTGCAAACCAGGTATGGCAACACATACCTGTAATTCCACCTCTCTGGGAGACTGAGGGAGAAGGATTCCAAGGTGGTTTCTGTCAACTAAGTGACTTGGCAAATCCCTGATTCGAAAAAAAATTATTTGCAGTATATGTTTTACAGACTAAACTCTTCCAGGCTATGTTTGCTTCTTGTAAAGTATTACATGCTCAGTGTTAGTAATAATAGCAATACTTACTAATGCTAATATTTTGTAAAGTACTTATGCTCATCCAGTATAAAGTTGATTAATTTACAACCCTGTTCTGAAAAGAATATAGCCAACTTTACGACACTATACCTGGAAATAGTTTGTAGGGAACCCATTTAGTATATGGTAAGGGGGAAGGGTTCAGCTCTTTATGGGCAAGGAGGCTCTAAGAAAGTGTGAGCTTTTGAGGTCATAGATGCCACTTTTTAAAGAAACTGGGATAGTCAAATTATCCCCTAAGGCTACAGTAGGGACTAGAGAGTTGGTCAGGGCTCCCACTGACCTGGGCTTCTTCCCTGTTGTCTTTTCAAGCCTGTAGCCAAGCATGCCCTGGAGCAGGGTAAGGGAGGACACAGGAAAGCTGAGGCATGGGCAGCCTGAACACATGAAGCTGTGTTCATGAGTGAAGTGTCAATGCTGCACCAGAGAGAAATTTCTCTCCAGCCTTATAAAGTTAATGTATTATGCAGAACAAGCCTGGGCTTTTTAAAAAATATGCCTCTCTTCACTGGAAACTTCATATCTGGCATAAATAAAATGACCTGGCAGAAGCAAAAAGAGATGAATGAGCATGTCATAAACAGGCATCTGGGCCAGCTTTTCTCCCCCAATTTGTGACTTCAACATTCCATTTTCCTGAATTCAGAGACTCCATCCAGCTATCTGATAAATTACTGCAGACTCTAAAGCATAAAGTTCAGTCTTAGTAAATAAATTTGGCAGTTTCCTAGAGCACTCAGTTTCTACCCACTTAAAGCTGTTTGGCAAAATCTAGGGTCTTTAGAGACACAGCTGAAAACATGTTCTTTATTCTGTAGCTAAGAAGTAAGTGCACTTAGAGTCTGTTGAAGTTATAACTACCCAATTTTGCATCCGTCAAAAAAATATTCATTGGCTGCCAGCACTCTGTTTGAAATTGTTAATTTAGAGCCAACTTTAAGCCTCGAAGGCAGTGCTGTCCAGCAGAAATACACATTAAACCCTAAATGTAATTTTAAATCTGCTTTTAGTATAGTCACATTTTTAAAAAGTAAAAAGAAACAGATAAAATTATTTTTATTTATTTATTTATTTATTTTGGTACCGGGGATCGAACTCAGATCCTTGCACTTGCGCAGTAGGTGGCAAAACCACTGAGCTAAATCCCCAGCCCTATTTTTAAAATTTTATTTAACCCAACACAGTAATACCTTGGTTCATGAATGCTTCTGTTTGCAAGCAATTTGGTTCACAAACAAAAGTGTTTGACAAAAGTTTGCTTCTGTTCACAAACTCCACTTTGGGTGACAGACACAACCACGGCCATCCTCCCCACACAAACACAAATGCAGCCATTTTCCCCAAAATCATAAGACTAAGTTTGTAAACCAAGGCACCAGTACCCAAAATGTGACCATTTCAATATGAAATCAATATAAAAATGTTACTAATTAGATATTTTACATTCTTTTTTAGTAATGATTCTTTAAAACCTGGCATATATTTTATACTTCTAACACACTTCACTTCAGATTGGGTATATTTCAAATGCTTGGTAGCCACATATGGTTAGCAGTTGTCATATTGAACATCACTGCTCTAGTGAAAACCTAATCAAACATCCTCTGCTGAGAAAATGTCCCAGAGCAAATAAAACCAAGCATAAAAATAGCTGGGGAAGGTTAATGTGGCTTGAATCGGGGCCCTGTAATTTTCTGCCAGCCTAATTTACCTAACAAACATTATTCTTCATTTTAAATAATTCTGTTTAAAATTTGGAACCAAAAAGCCTATTTTCTTTTTTCAATACCAAGGATTGAACTCAGGACCTTACACTTGTGAGGCAGGCGTGGCACCACTGAGCTAAATCTCCAGCCCCAAAAAGCCCATTTTGGCTAACCAGAAGCATTTAGTGTGAACCCTAGGGTTCAGTGCTGAACTATGAATGAGTTTTTATTTGTGAGATTTATGGTGAGGTTTGTTTTCCAGTTTCTTCCAAATACCTCCTCACTTCTAAATTCTGGAAACGGGAGAAACCTCAGAGAATGTTCACTATGCTAAATAAATGCTAATTTGTGGTTTTTTTTTCTTTTATGGATCATGCTTTTAGTGTTAAGTCTAAGAACTCTGCTTTACCATATATCCTGATTCTTTTCTCCTATAATTCTTCCAAAAGTTTTACATTTTACATTTGAAAGTGTGGTGCATTTTAAGTTAATTTTTGTATAATGAATGGGACTTGGGTCAAGGTTTTTTGTTTTGTTTTGCCTATAGATGTCCAATTGTTGTTGAAAGGATATTTTCTGCTATTGAATTGTTTCCCCTATTAAATTGGTTTTGGTTCCCTTTTATGTCCTAATTATGTGTCTCTTTGCCAACAGTTTCACTTACTCCTCATGTAGTCATATAACTAGTCTTGAAATAAGCTCTAATGATTCCTTTCATTTTATTCTTCCCTTTCAAGTGTTTTAGCTATTCTAGTTACTTTGCTTTTCTATATAATTTTTTATAATAATCTTGTTTATATCTGCAAAAAAAATCTTGCTAGGATTTTGATAGGAATTATGTTAAACCTATATATCTTTGTAGAAAGAATTGATATCTTTACTGTATTGAGTTTCCTATTCTGTAAACATGGTAGAGAACACCTCTCCATTGATTTAGCATTCCCTTTCCTGTCATATCTAGAACTTCAGCATACATGTCCATATGCCTTGTCATACAGTCATGAACCACATAACTATGTTTTAATGATGGAGTGCATATATGATAGTGGTCTCATAATTATATTGCTCAGTCACATCACAGCTGTTTTAGTTTGTGTAAATTCCCTCTATGATGTTCACATACAAAATCACTTAACACATTTCTCAGAATGCATCTCATAGTTAAGCAACTCATGACTTTATTTGCACATAAGTACTTTTTAAGCAATTATAAATGGTATTGTATTTTTAATTTCAGTGTCCATTTGTTTTTTTACTAGTATTTATAAATTCAGTTGATTTTTATATGTTTATCTTATATACCGTGACCTTGATGAACTCACTTATCCTTTCTAGAAGTTTTAGTAGATCACTCGGGAGTTTACATAGTCAATCATGACATCTGCAAATAAGGGACAGTTTTATTTCTCCCTTTCTCTTGTGTATGCCTTTTCTTTTCTTGACTTGCCTTTTGTTGAATAAGAGTGGTGAAGGCTGATATGCTTACCTTGTTCACAAACTTAAGGAAGCATTAAGCATAACATTAGCTGTAGGTTTTTGAAGTTCAGTTCTTCTGTACAACTAATTTTCTAAGACTTTTTATTATGAGAGTTAACAACTTGACAAATGATTTTTCTTCATTAAATTATATGACTGTAAGGTTTTTCTCTAGTATGTTAATTTGGTGAAGCATATTGATTGATTTTCAAATACTGAACCAGCTTTGCATCCTTGGAAAAATTCCACTTTGTTATGGTGCATAATTCTTATTATATATTTCTGAATTCTATTCGCTAATTTTTTTGTGTGCTAATATTTTTGACATACAAAAATTATAAATATTTATGGGACACCATGTGATGTTTTTGTAAATGCATACATTGTATAATGGTCAAATCAAGGTTACAGGTAACCCACCATTGCCCATCTCTCCTTTACTCCTCCCTACTCTTCCCAGCCTCTGGTAACCACTATTGTGTGGTTTGCTGATATTTAGTTAAGGACTTTGCCATCTGTATCAATGAGGTATATTGATATGTAATTTCCTTTTTCTTATTGCCTTTATATGGTTCTAGCATCAGGGTCATACTAGCTATACAAATGACTTGGGAAGTGTCCCATTTCTTTCCATTTTTGAAAGAGATTGTCTAGAATTGATACTGATTTTTCTTTGAATGTTTGGTAGAATTCTCCTGTGATACTGATTGGGCTAGGAGATTTGGGGGATAGAGTAGGATGATAAATTTTAAATTCAATTTCCTTAATATTTTATATTGGATGGGTTTTAGTAGCTTGTGCTTTCAGAGAAAGCGATCCATTTTCTCTAAACCATCAGTTTTATGTGTTTAGAGTACTAGAGTATGTGTATTCTGTTATCAAGGTCTTTTTTTCACTGGTTTCCCCTATTTTGTTGTCTATTTCCCCTACTTTTGTTGTCAATGATCAAAGTGGTTATTATTTTCTTTTGCTGTGGGGGTATTTTACTGTTCTTTTTATACATTCTTGTGGTGATTACATAGATTTTTGAGATACTTTCCCTCTTATCTAATGTATGGATTTAGTGCTATAAATTTCCCTCTCAGAACTACTTTACCTGTAGCCTGCAGAGTTTGATATGTTCTATTTTTATGTTCATAGAGTTCCATGTAGATGTTCTATCAGGTGTTTTTTTTTTTTACATTTTTTAGCAGTTGTGTTGTTTGCTGCGTACACATTTATGATTGCTATGTTTTCTTGATGGGTTAACCTTTTTATCATTAATATAATGACCATCTGTTTTTCTTTGCTCTGAATTCTACTTTATCCGACATTTGATTAGTGTTTGCATAATATATATTTTCCTTTTGTGTTGCTGTTTTACTTTCACCATGTTTCTATCATATTTAAAGTGAGTTTCTTCTGAACTTGAACAGATGAGTTATCGCAGAGGATATAGAAATAGCAAATAAACAGGCCAGGGATTTAGCTCAGTGGCACCACACCTGCCTCAAAAGTGCAAGGTCCTGAGTTCAATCCCCAGCACCAAAATAAATAAATAAATAAATAAATAAATAAATAAATAGCAAATAAACACATCAAAAGAGGATGAACAGTATTAACTCTTAGGGCAGTGCAAATCAAAACCATAATGAGATATCTCTGTATACTGTTATAATGACTAAAGTACTGGGGGGTTTTTGTTGTTGTTGTTGTTATTGTTTTGGTACCAGGGATCAAACTCAGGACCTTGTGCTTGCGAGGCAGGTGTTGGAACCACTGAGCTAAATCCCCAGCCCCTAAAGTACTGTTTTTAAAAAATACTGAAAATGTGTCAGCGATTTGGGGAAGAACTGAACTCTCATAGACTGCTGGTTTGAATGTCAAATAGTACAGCCACTTTGACACACCAGTAACATCTTATAAACATTTACCAGTAACCACATAATTCCACACCAGTTATCTGCTTTAAAAAATGAAAATGTAGGGTCGGGAATTTAGCTCAGTGGTTTCCCCGCCTGCTGCACAAGCGCAAGGACCCGAGTTCAATCCCCGGTACCAAAAAGAAAAAAGAAAAAGAAAATGTACATCCATACAAAAAACATATACAAATGTTTATAGAAGCTCTGTTAATAATCCCAAGCTAGAAGCAGCCTAAGTGAATGGGTAAACAAACTGTAATACATCCCTATACTGGCATTCTACTTAGCAATACAAAGAATGGACTCTTGATACACAGAACACTTTGGGTGTAACTCAGAGGCATTGAGCCAGTCTCAAGAGAACTGATTCTTGGATGATTTCATTTACTTAACATTCTGGAAAAGGCAAAGCTATAGGGATGAAGAACCTGTCAGTAGTTGCCAGAGGTTAGGTGGGGTGGTGTGACAAAATGGGTCAACACTAGGGAGTTTTTTGGGGGGAGACAGAAGTGTTCTGTATCCCATTTGTGACTACACTGATCTACATGTGTTACATTCATAGAACTGTCAACCAGATAAAAAGATAATTGTACATAAATAATAACACAATAAAGGGCTCCTGGACCATCCCCACACTGAAATTGTGCCTTGAAAATATGCAGTTGGACTATAACCAGTGCCACCATAACCAGGTTTAGTGAGAGCATGTGACATAGTATTCAGGAGGGCTGATAAGTAATTTGGCAGTAGGACAGTTGCTCAGTTTAGCAATGTTGACCTTAGTAAGATATCCAAATAAATTATCTTTCTGAACAAATACAGTTTCTTTCTAAAATGTTCCAGTTCTAACTGTAATATTCCACAGGTATCTGGCTAGACTGGTACAAATCAGCTTGTGCATTCGACTATATATATAGTGGGGCTTGTCAACAGTTGTTGGCCTAGCAAGTGTTTTCACCAATCTTCAAGACTGTGTTACATGTGGATGTCAGACACCAGCTTATCTCCTTCTTCCCTTTGTTCCTATACAGGAGGTTGTGGCCCACTGGATTGCTGAAAGCCGCATTGCCATCGAGGAGATCCGCTTGTTGACCTTGAAAGCTGCCCACAGTATAGATACTCTGGGCAGTGCTGGTGCTAGGAAAGAGGTGAGGCAGCCCTGGTTCATCAACTGTAGAGGCTTCTTCAGGTTTTCCCATCCTTTGGGCATTTCGAGTTTCATGGCACCTTGAAAGCACTGAGAATGTTAGAAGCCCCATGTGATTTTTGGTTTAAAGACTATAAATGAGTCTGGTATTGTGATGCATGCTTATAATGACAGTTGGTAGGCTGAGGCAGGAAGATTACAAGCTTAACGCCAGCCTGAGCAACTAATTGAGACCCTGTCTCAAAGAATAAAAATGTATGTGTGCCAAATCCCCACAATGAATGTAGTCATTATTACATGTACTAATGTAGCCATTACAAACATGTACTAATAAAAATTTTTTATTAGCAAGTCTTATAAGTAGCTGGAAAAGAAAGAAAAAAGGGCTGGAATGTAGCTCAGTGGCTTATCTAGCATGCACTAGGCCTTAGATTCAATCCCTAGTACCACACACACACACACACAAATTTTTTTTTTTTTTTTTTTGGTACCGGGGATCGAACTTGGGTCCTTGTGCTTGTGCAGCAGGCAGTGAAACCACTGAGCTAAATCCCCAGCCCTACACACACAAATCTTAAGTGTCTATCACTTGCTAGCTTTCCTTTCACTGTGCTACTTTAGGAAATGATTTTTGGAATCCAGAATATCTTCAGCACTCTTGAGATGCAGCAAAGAGTGAGGAAGTACTAGGCTGTCCACAGATCTGTTGTTAATAGTAACCACTATACCACTTTCTGCTGGCCTTGGACTGTGGGCAAAGTATTTAACCTTTCTGCCTTGGGTCTGGATTCTCGTGGAGAGTAACCTAAATGCAAAGGATGATTCTGCCATGCAGTAAATGTTTTATGAAGGGCTCCTGTTGTCCTCTGCCTTCTTGTGATAAGCTTATATGAATCAAGGACATAATCATTTAATTCTTAAAAACCCATAAAGTTGCTAAGACAAATTGACTAGTGGAGCCCTTAAACTGTTTTTATGACTGTTTTTATGAATGTGATGAATGTGACCTATGAACTGCCTGAAATCTTTTTGGAAGGAAAGCAAGTTACAAATAAAAGAATAAAATATGATTTGGAAGAGCTATCCCTTTCTAAAAAGTCTGTATTGACTGAAATATGGCCATTAACTGCATTTCAGCAGATCTCTTTGTTGCCTGTTCAGTGGTGACTTGGGTGTGGGAAAGTTTTCTTGTTTCATTTTGCAGAGAAAAAATATAGATTATATCAAATTCTGGCACATTGTGTATAGTTCTAAGAAAGAAGCATTCTTTTCATATCCTGCTTATATAGATTGCAATGATCAAAGTGGTTGCTCCCCGGGCCGTCTGCAAGATCATTGACCGGGCCATCCAGGTGTGCGGCGGTGCGGGCGTCTCCCAGGACTACCCCTTGTCTAACATGTGAGTAGATGGCATTTCAGAATAGCTACTTTTGACAGGCTTGGAATTTTAAAATCTATCGATGACATACATACCAATATGTGTCAAATAAAAATGAAATAAGATTACAGATGCTTTGACACTAATTGTTTAGGAAGAAAATAAAGCTAAGAACTGACTTTGAAATGTAACTGAAGGCTAAATGAAGTGATATAGGGTTGATGTAGAGTTTCCAAGAAATAGTTGCTGTTATGAACACAGTCACCATCTCACTCCTTTGTGCTCACTTGTACACTAAAGCAACCCTCTGAGGGTTCCTACAGACACAGTGTGGAGTTTCACCCAGAAACAGGAAGGAGGAGAGGGGCACAGAGACAGCCAAGGGGAACCCAGATCCAGAATGTGTTCACTAGGACAGTGTGCCACCCGCACAGGGGCAGCAGCTCCATTGGCAGCAGTGCATGCTGTGACCATCCTGTGTCCAGGTTTTGATTACTGGAAGACAAGGAAGATTTGCACATTCCCCATCTGTCCATCTCCACACACGGTCATAATGCCACCTTATCTCTCACAACAGAGGTAGAGTCATGTACCCCATCAATTTCTCACCTTAAGAAAGAACTAAATACGTACTGTCATGTCATTTGCTGCCTGTGGCTTACCTAAAATATCTTAGTTACAGCAACTTCTGGAAACATATAGCAAACCCCACTCACTGTACCTTGCCATTTAAGATTCTACTTTCTGACGTTGGGAATTTCACTTTATTAGTAACTCATATTAACTGTACATCTTAATGGGGTTAAGTGCAGTGTTTCCATACATGCTTACAGCATGCACTGATCAAATCCAGCCACACTTTTTCTACCTCTTTCCTAGTCCCCTTCCTAATTCTTATTAAACAGGATTTTATTTTCAACTCAACCCATTTTAGTTTCCAAATATGAGAGAGAACATGTGGTATTTGTCTTCCTGTATCTGTCTGGGTTTTTTGTTGTTGTTGTTGTTGTTGTTTTGTTGTTGTTTTGAAACTCAGGACCTTGTTTTTGAACTCGGGACCTTGTGCTTGCCAGGCAGGCAGGGTGCCAGTGAGCTACATCCCTGGCCCATATCTGTCTTATTTTGACTTAATGTCCACCAGTCTCATTCATTTTGCTACAAATAATAGGATTTCCTTCTTTATGGATGAATAATACTATGGCATTGGGTATATAAACCACATTTTCTATATCTACTCATCTGTTAGTGGACACCTAGCCTGTCTTTATCTTAGCTGTTGTGAGTAATGTTGCAGTAAAAACATGGACATGCAGGTTTCTCTCTAGTATGCCACTTTCATTGCCTTTGGATGTACACCCAGAAGTGGGATTAGCTGGATCATATGGTAGATATATTTTCAGTTTCTTGAAGAAACTTCACACTTTATAATGACTGTACTAAATTTATATTCTCACCAACAGTGTATAAGAGTTCCTTTTTCTTGATACACTTGCCAGTATTTGTTATATTTTTTCTTCTTTATGGTAATCCTAACTAGGGTGGGATGATATCCCATTGGAATTTTGATTTTTATTTGCATTTCCCTGGTGGCTAATGATATTGAGCATTTTTTTCATAAATTTGTTGGCCATCTATATTTCTTATTTTGAGAAGTAGCTATTAAGATGATCCATTTTTAATTGGGTTACTTGGTTTGTTGTTACATTTTTGAGTTCTTTTTGTATTCTGGATACTAACCATCTGTGAGATAAATAGAGTTAGTAAATATCTTCTCTCATTCTCTTTGAGTCTTTACTCTGCTATGTGTTTCCTTTGCTGTACCAGGCTTTTCAGATATAATCCCATTTGTCAGATTTTGTTTTTGTTTCCTATACTATTGGGGTCCTAGCCAGAAAAATCATTACCTGTACCAACATCTTTAGGTGTTAGTCCTTTGTTTTCTTTTAATAGCCTCAAAGTTTCAGGGTTTGCATTCAGTCTTTACCTGATTTTGAGCTGATTTTTGCACAAGGTGAAAGATAATAGGGGTCTAGTTTCAGTCTTCTGCATGTGGATATCTAGTTTTCTCAGCTCCATTTTTTGAAGAGGCTGCCCTTTTTTCAATGTGTGTGTTGGGGGGTTGTTTGTTTGTTTGCTTTGCCCCTTTTTTGAGAATTGGCTGTGAATACCTGTGTTTACTTCTTGGATCTCTGTTTACTTTCATCGATCTGTGTATCTGTTATACATTATGCTGATTTTGTTACTATGGAAATCAGATACTATGATGCCTCTAGCTTTCTTCTTTTTGCTCAAAATGGCTTTGGCTATTTGGGGATTTTTTATGCTTTCATGTGCATTTTAAGATTTTTTTTTTTTTAGTTCTGTGAAGAACGTTATTGGTATTTTGATGGGAATTCCACTGCATCTGTAGATTGCTTTGGGTTGTGTGGGCATTTTAACAATACTTACTTTTCCAGTCTGTGAACATGAGAAGTCTTTCCATAGTTTGTGTTCTCTTCAGTATCTTTTGTCATCCTTTGTAATATATTATTGTAGAGATCTTCTCCACTTCCTTGGTTAAATTCATTTGTGCATTTTTGTAGCTATTGTGAATGGTGTTGCTTTCATTATTTCTTACTTAGGAATCATTGACATATAGAAAAGCTACTGATTTTTGTGTGTTGATTTTGTGTTCTTCTACTTTACTAAATTTGTTTAGCAGTTCTAATAGTTTTTAGGGAGGAATTGTATAGAGCCATATCATCTGCAAAAAAAAAGAGATAAATCTGACTTCCGGCCTTTTTATTTATATGCATTTTATGTCTTTCTCTTGCCCAAATACTCTGGCTAAGACTCCTAGTAGTATGTTATAGAAGAGTAATGACTGGATGTGCTTGTCCTGTTCCTATTCTTAGAGGAAATGCTTGTGGCTTTTTCCTATTTAGGGTAATATTAGTTGTGGGTTTGTCAATATAACCTTTATTATGTTGCAGTATGATCCTTTTATACCTAATTTATTCAGAGCTTTTTGTTATTAAATTTTATCAAATGCTTTTTCTGTACCTGTTTAGATGATAATATGGTTTTGATCATTCTGTTCATATGCTGTATCATGTTCATTGATTTGCATATTGAATCATACTTGCATTCCTAGAATGAAACTAACAATCATGGTGTATGATATTTTGATGTGCGGTTGAATTTTTATTTTCTAGTATTTTGTTGTATGTATGGTCATCAGGGATATTGATTTATATGTTTTTGTTGTGTCATTGTCCAGTTATGGTAAAAGTGTAATGCTGGCCTCATAGAATGACTTTGGAATAGTTTGAGAAAAATGGCATTTCTCCCTTACATGATTGGTAAAATTCACTAGTGAATCTTGGATTTTTGTTAGGAGACTTTGTGTGTGTGTGTGTGTGTGTGTGTGTGTGTGTGTGTGTGTGTGTGTGTATGTGCCCTAGGGATAGAACCCAGGGCCTCACATATGCTAGCCAAGCACTATACCACTTAATTATACCACAGTCCCACAAACTTTTTATTAATGACCCAATCTCATTACTTGCCATTAGTCTATTCATGTTTCTATGCCCCCTTCATTCAATTTTGTTAGGTCATATTCCTGTAACTATTGATTTCCTTCTAGTTGTTTTGAATATTCTTTGTTCCTCCTCTGATTCATTTTTGTGGGTGATGGCTTATGGTATTAAAATGTTAGATTCTTTTCTGTTTCTCTTTTGTGTATCTACTCTTCTGATATGATGTTATACTTTCACATGCTTTGCAGAGATGGTAGTTATCTTTCTTTCGCCTCTGGGTATAGTATCGCTGTGAGTATCTTTTCCAAGGCTGGTCTGGTGGTTATATGTTCCTTCAGTTTTTGCTTGCCTTGAGAGCAAAAACTTATGCTCCTTCATTTCTTAATAGTCTTGTGGTGTATAGAAATCTTGGGTAGCAATTCTTTTCTGTCAGGGCCTGGAATATGACGTTCTCTTCCCTCCTAGCCTTGAGGGTCTCTCCTGAGAATTCTGCTCTTAGTCACTTAATAGTGACTTGGTGCTTTTCTCTCACAGATTTTTTAATTCTTTCTTTGCCATGTATTTTTTTTTTTTGGTACCAGGGATCGAACTCGGGTCCTTGTGCTTGCACAGCAGGCAGCGAAACCACTGAGCTAAATCCCGGCCCTTTTGCCATGTATTTTTGACAGTTTGACAATGAAGTGCCTTGGTGAAGATCTTCTCTAGTCATGTTTATTTGGGGTCCTATAAGCCTCCTTTATATAGATGTCCGTATCTTTCTCAAGATTAGAGAAGTTTTCTGCCAGGGGTTTTCTATGCCCTTTTTTCCTTGCATTCAGGTAGTCTCAAAATGTGGATATTTGTTCATTTAATATTGTCCCAAAAGTCTTGAAACTCTTCATTCTTTTTGTTTGGTTGGTTGGTTTGTTGGGATTTTATTTTGTTTTTATTTTTAATCTGGCCAAGATATTTCAAAAGATCTGTTGTCAGATTCAGATATTCTTTTTTTCTACTTAATCTCTTTTGTTGATGGGGCTTTAAACTGTATTTTTTTATGTGACTTACTGAGCTCTTCATTTCCAAGATTTCTTTTTCGAGATCTCTGTTTGCTGAATTTCTCACACAAAAACCTGCATTGTCTTCCTGATTTCACTTAACTGTTCATCTGTACTCTCTTGGATCTCATTAAACTTTCTAAAAAAATACTCATTCTTTTAACTTCCCCATCAGATATTCCATCTCAATTTCTTTGGGATCTTTGCTAGAAAGTCATTATGTTGTTTTGAAAGTGTCATATCATGTGGCTTTTTCAGATTTTTTTGTGCTTCTACATTGAGATTTGTGCATCTGTTGTATCAGTTATATCTACAACAGTACTAGTCAGGTTTCAGTCGCTATGACAAATAACCTGAGTAAATCAACATAAAAGAGGAAAGGTTTGTTTTGGCTCAGACTTTCAGAGGTCTCAGTCCATGGTTAGTGGGCTCTATTGTTTTGGGGCCTTTAGCAAGGCAGTACATCATGGCAGAAGGGCATGGTGAAACAATGCAGCTTATTCTTGGTGGGCAGGAGAAGGTAAGGAGAAAGGAAATGAAGGAGAGAGAGGGATGAGATGTGCCCTGCAGAGGCATGTCTCCAATGACCCATCTCTTCTAACTGGATCCCACCTCCTCCCACTTGCATCACCAGCTGAGGACCAACTCGTTCACACATGAGCCTGTAGGGCCATTCCAGATCCAAACTATAACAACCACTTTTATGGGTTGGTCTTTGTAGCAAGTGGCTTTCCCCTGGAATATGTCTTGGAGTGTGGGTCTGATGTGCAATATTGGCTTTAGTCCTAGCTGGGCGTCCATAGTGTACTTTCCCTATAGATTCCTTGGGTGTAGTTAATGACTTTGAGCAGAGTGTGTACTGTGTCGAAGTCAAAGAAACCTACTGCTTCTGTGGGCCATGCAAGAGTGGGTACATCCTAGCACTTCAGGCAGTTGTGGTGTTGACAGCAGTAAGTGTTCTCTCTCTGACTTCTCCTACTATGGGAATAGTGTTCCTACTGGGCAGTGGGAATTTCCTCAGGCACTGTTGATTCTAGCTCTGCTACTAGCAAGGCATCTAGCACTGGTGGCCACAGCAGGGGTGAGGGCCTGGAAGAACTGGTCTTATGAGTCAGTGGTTCACAGCCAGTTCCTGTATGGGGAGAGGTGGTGGCAGAACAAGGTATGGAGGCATGGCAGTGGCAGGAACCATGGGGGTGTAGGAACCTTGATGTTCCTCTCCGCTTTAGGGACAGTGGATACCTGAGCATAGTGGATGACAGACAGAGCCAAAGCTTTTTTCACACAAACCCTTTATCTGAAGTGAGTGCCTGGGACCAGAACTGGCTGAATCCAGGTAGTGTTTCTCCAAGCCTTCTTTTACTTTGTGCATCTGGGGACAGGGTGACAGCTGTAGCCACCAAGTTGCCTAAAGCACTGTTGGCATGTCCTTTGCACAGGAGATCAGCAGGAGCCATGGTGTCCCCTCCCTTCCCCATCAGGAACAAGCACCTGAGCATGGTGTGGAGGGAAGGGTGTGGGAACAGTGGAGCACCCACCTTTAGTTCTGCCTCAGGCCCAAGGCCACGTGTCTGACTCACCCTCGATCTCAGTGGGCAAGTGGTCTGATCTCTTGGTTCTCAAGAGTGGCTTATACCATTCTCCTCTGTGTTGTGGCATCTGTCCACCTAATATGCAGGTCCCCAGTTGGGGTTAGGTCATAGTCATTCTGCTAGACCAAGTTGGGCTCACAAGCAGCTATCCCCCAAGCCAGAGCAGTGGAGGCCCAGAGATGTGAATGTGCAGGGGTTTCTGAGCCCCAGAGCAGTCCAAATTCTGACAGTAACTCCCTTCTCAACATAGCTCCTGGTACAGAAGCCTGGAGTTTTCTCTAGTAAATAATGTGAAGTCTTTTTCCAAAGCAAGTCTATGCAGACTTCAAGTTACTTACCTAAGTGGGCTGCAAACCTGTGAGGCTTATAAAACCTCTAGTACTTAGGACTGGAATGCCAGCATGCATTCTGGTAGAGTTTACAAGGGTGCTTCCTTTCACTTTTACCTTGCAAAGGAGAGGCTCCCCTCCTCTGGCTATGTATTAGGGTGTTTTGTTTCTCTTACTATGCTCTCTTCCCACAACTCTTAATCCTCCGAGGTCCCAGTCTCTCGCTGATTTCCAACGTTCTCTTTGGTCACTCATCTCAGCATGCAGCTTTATTCCTGTACATTGGTTCTTTGTGGAGCAGGAGGTGAGCATTAGGCACTCTATTCAACTATCGTGAAACTCCCATGTTGGGAGCTTTGAAATGGCATCTTGGAAGCTCTTTGGCTTTCTTCCTTGATTTTCACTGTACTCTTTGCCTTATTCCCACCTTGGTGGGATTAGTATTGTCATGGTTTAGAATTTAAACCATGAGTTTAGAGTTTAAATTTCCTCTTTGATAAATTCTGCAATCCCTGCTTGTTTGGTTTTTTCCCAGGTATGCCCTAACACGAGCTCTGCGCTTAGCAGATGGACCTGACGAAGTCCACCTCTCAGCAATTGCAAAAATGGAGCTTCGGGAACAAGCCAAAAGATTGAGAGCCAAGATGTAAGAGAGTAGCACTGCCATGTCCAGAGGCCAGAGGGCTCCTTCCTTCAACCTTAATCAGCTCCAACATTTGAGTATCCTAGAAGTTTGAGCAAAGGGTAATTACTCACTTATAAAGATTTTTGGTATCTATTTTGTTCAGCGGATTTTGTAATTTCAAGAGTCACACAGCTATATGTTAAATAAGAAAGACCATAGCTATTGTCTTTAGCTCTAGTACTTCCATGGGATAGCATCTACTCTTTAAATGCAAATTGTGACCAGATCATGGAGTAAATTGAGAGCTATTTCTAAAGCACAGGCATAGAAAATTTTCACTTTTTGATTGTCAGGACTTATTCAGGCAAGTAAATAACTCCAAAAACATTTCCTCTTGCTTTGAAAAACATATAGTTGGACCACTTTTTAACACTGGTTTTTCAGGTTTAACACTCTGTGGTAATATTTGCACTGGAAAAAGATGCAGGATTGATTGGGTCATTTTAGAATTCATTGACATATAAGACTCTTTATAATCCAATAGAGAACTCTGATGTATTAAATCTGAATGCACTTTAAAACTTACAGGGAAACACCATTATTACGAGAAAATTTAAGACTCATTTAAATTATTTTTAAAATGTTGAGAACAGTGAAGAGTTTCAGGTAAAAGAAGTACTTTCATTTTAAGAGATAGAAGACAGTCTACTCTGGAAGACACCCTGTTAACAGCAGTGCCCTATGCAGACACCCTCCTAGCTCTGGCCCAAGCCGCAGAGCTGCTGGCTGCAGGTGACTTGTGCCACTGAGCAGTTCGAGTTTTAATTTTTAAAAATTGTAACTTAAATATTGATTCATAACTCAGTTACTGGAAAATCTTTTAAGGATGCTTGGAATAAAGTAGATATGTCAATTCACTTTTTCATATGTAAGATTTGTGAAATCTAAATACAGATGAAGTATTTTGAATCAAAATTTGGTATCCAAATAAAAATAGAGTAAGTATAAAATATACACCAGATTTTGAAAATTTATCATGAAAAATGTAAAACATCTTATTAATACCTTTTATATTGATTACTCATTGAAATTATATTTTTGA